CGCGGTCACGGTTGACGCCGCGAGCACAAACTTGGATGGTTACATGCTGAGGGTCCCGCCCATAAGCTTCAAGGCCAATCTGCAGAAATTTGGTTTTATGGCCTTCAGTCTTGAGACAAGACGCAGTGCCACAGGACACACCCGGAATTATAGTCTCCAGCTCTACATCTTGTCTAATTTTGCCGCCTTCGCCATAGCCGTCAGAAGCATTCTGCCGTGATGTGCAAGGACGCCACCGAAGCGTACACATAGGGTCACCCGCGCATACAACCACATATTTTTCTACTTGTACTTCTATGCACGCGTCTATCCGTCTGTCTGTCCATCTATCTTCCTTTCAATCAGTCTAACCTAACTTAACCTAACCTATCCAATCTAACCTAGTCTATCCTAACCTGATCTATCCTAACCTAAACTAATCTAGCCTAACCGACCTAACGAAACCTAACGCACACTAAACGAAAACTGAACCGAACCATATCTAACGAAGCCTCTAATCTACGCTACTCCAGTCTAACCTATCTAGTTGTATAAGCCAGCCTGGATATCTAGCTATCTCGCCCTGCCGATATATCTATCTATGCATCTTTCTATCTGCCTACCTATCTACCTGCAACCTAATTTACCTGTTTACCAATGTACCTACCCAGCTACCCACCGACCAAGCTATGCAGTCTAGCTTAATCAGATCGAGGTTTATGAATGCCAATCTAATGCAACCTATCCGTCCATCCATCTATATGTACTCAGGTGATGCGCATAAGGTGGTCATCATTTGGAACAGTTTATTGAAAACCGCTCCAAGCAGTTCCTTGCCGCCAGGTCCTTCTACAGTCAGGAGGATGACCGAATGGAAGACATGGTGCGTGGTGCATAGTTAGTTCTGAGCAGTAGGTGCTGTGAAATTCACAGCAGTTAATGCAACCGCTTTCAAAGCGCCTGGTCCCTTTGGATCAGAAGCTGCCAGTATGATGCTTGTATGCTTGTGCCGCAGCTTGTTCACAAAACAGCGGCCATCAGCGGGATCGGCATGTTGAACATCAGCATGTGGCCAGCCTGGACAGCTTTTCGAGTGATCGCCACTCCCAGTTTTCACTTTGAATTTTCATTGTGAGCCTCCGCTGTGCAGAGACCCAACTAATTCGCTGTGTGCATGCCCGGCCTCTTGCAGATTTGCAGTCGGCCACATGCGATGCATTGTTAGCTCCAGCAAAATCAGCTGTCTTTGACGCGCTGCCTGCATGTGCAACGGCATGACTTGTCCCTGACCTTGCTTTTCCTTTGGCCTTCGCGATTCGAGGATTGCTTCTTTGGTTTTATTTGGGCTTGCGTAGAAACAGCTCGGCACCACAAGCGGTCGCTCGTTGCATGGCTGCGGGGAATGTCGCAATATAGAGCTCCAGGTGCTCACGGCCCTCGCGCAAGCAAAAGACGAGAACCTGCTGCAAGAGTGCATCCAGGACTGAGCCGGGGAATGGAAAGAGCACGAATCGACGCATCGTTGCCGCATGGTTCCCGGTTGCTGTTTCATTCCTGCAGTCATGGCTGTGGTGTGCGAAGAAAACTGCTCGTTGTGGATGGGACTTGTCAAGTCGGAGCGGTTCCTCGGCAGTTTCGAACACCATGCTTTGCATGCTTTTATGGCATGATCATCCGTCCAGCAGGCCTTCACGGATGTGGCCACCGTTGAGCCCGACTTCTTCAAGGCAGATTGTATGCAACTGCAGATGACTTGGCAGAGAAAGATGGCTTCTAGAACGCCTCTGCGAGGCACAGCTACAGCAGACAATGGAGCCGGCGAAGTTCATGGCGACTGTTGCACGCACTCGCGAGGCCACTGCGCTTGAAGGTAAGTAGTGCTAGCCATTGATGCATGCTACGTGTGATGTCTTGTTATTCTGCCGTGTTGCAAATACTGTTCCCGTCATTACGCTCATGTTGAGGGTGATGATGGCTGATGATGATGATGGAATAGTGCTGGTTTGGTCGATGCTGATGCTGGTAATGGTGGTAGTGACTGGTAGTGGAAGGTAATGGCGGTGGTGGCGGTGATGTGCGGTGGCCAGGTTGCTGGTGACGGCGCTGGTGCCGCTGCTGATGTTGTTGGCTGTTGGTCGTGTTGGTGAAGGAGATGATGATGCTGCTGATGATGCCGGTCCTGGTTGTGACATAGTAGACGGACGGGCGGACTGGCAGAGGGAGGTACTCACACAGAGGCGGACGGACAGGCAGACACTGTTGCACCCATCTTGACATGTCCTGCACATCGCCACAAGTGTCAAGGACAGTCAGGGGCTGTCCAGCTGTCATGTGGACCGTCCAGGTGCCTTACAGGGTTCCGGCCCGGGGCCGTGGTGAGGGGCCATTTTCAGTGCAGTGTCACCATGCCAGTTCACCATCCCACCCACCCAGCCAGCCAGCCAGCCGGCCGTCAGGTTCATCTTGTTATTCGCTTCTTCATTGCATATAGACAGTTAATTTCTCAAACTTAAGTTTGTATACCGCATTAAACAACCATAACTTCTCTAATTTGTTACATGGGTTTTTAAAACGAATTGTTTTATCAATTCGAAGCCGCAGCACTCACGCGTGATTGAATTGACCATGTTAAAGACGCAACGCCGACGCCGCAACGCTCCTTTATTTCAGCCCCTGGGGGTTGAATGTCCGATGACTTCGAGTTGCATACACGAAAGTCTTTAGGCGTTCAGCTCTGGTTTCACATTCTCCACACTTGCTCCAGCATGCACACACGCACGCACTCACGGTCTGCGCAGATCGATTCTGGCCTGCGTGGCCTTGCGATAGAGTGGCTCGTCAGCTTCGTGGAGAAGAGGCTGGGTTGTCGTGTGAATCTTGCTTGGTGTCTTTCCAGTGTTAGGGCCTCTCGCGCAATTGCAGGTCAAAATTCCTCAGCAAGTCTGCACCAGACTTTATCAATCTCACACTTGAGTGCTGCCGGAAGCTTCGTTTTTGCTTACCTGGGTGTTGTTGTGTGCTTGGAACATGAACCCGCTCCATGCTTAGGCATGAGCCTCATGCTCGAGGTTGACGAGTCTGAAGACAAGCTGAAGGCTGTCGAGTGTTTCTCTGCTTGGCTGCTTTAGATGTCCTTCAAGTGCTGTTTGGGCGAGCAGCTCCGGCACTCTTGGTATGCTGATATATAAGGCGGTCATTGACTTCGTCCTTTGCGCTTGCCTCCGCTGGATCAAGGAACCTCCAGGTGAATATCATGGAACCCACGTGCCACACAGCAGATCGGTCCTGCAAGGCACACAAAGCACTTTGGCGTTCTGACTGAACACAGCTTGGTGTAAACAGCGTGGTGTGCCCCAAGAGTGTAAAGACGAATGGGATGCGCTCAGAGACGTTGGGGCTTTTTCAAAGTGCCTTAGTGCCTGCGGCTTTTGCCATGCTTGAGCGTGGCCCTGAGCTCTCAACCCTCGTGGTGCTCGGTTCTGAAAGCTCTCAGAGGCCCTTGGGGTCGGCGGTGAAGCAACCCGAGGAGGCGCACGAGTCTCGCAAATCATTCGGCATTGGTCTTCTTTTGTATCAGGATGCCTGGACTCAGCCTATGGGATAGATTGTTTCAGTATGCCGCTAAGCTGCTACAGCAGCACGAACACACGAAAGACCCTGACTACTGTCAACCTCTGCGGGAACGTGATGCCACCCACACTGGTTCCATGTGCCTTGAAACCCTGCTGTGCGCCTGCCTGTGAGCCCCAGGAAAGAACGGCTTGGGATGGCTGTTGTGGCATGCAGATCTACTCTAATGGGCTTCGATTTCACCTGTTGACGGGTTGATCTGCAGTCGTCGAGTGCTCTCTCGATGATTTGTCCGCTTTTTAATCTGGCCCTGTCGGGTCTCATACGAAATTGAAGATATGGACACTACCCGTTGCCAGTGCTGTGCCAAGTCTTGCAGCTATGCTGGAGGTGGAAGACGTGCCTTTAGACGACGACATCGACGTCACCGTAGGCAGCGAATTGCTGCTTTGTTACATAGCCAGCTGAGCAGATGGTCTTCACGTGCGAGTTTCGACGGGTTCACTTCTATGGTGATGTTGCCCTTGACACAGCAGGAGCAAGCAGAGCTGCTTCCACGAACCCAGGCTCATTTTGATGATCGCCCATGTATCTCTCAATCCACAAACTGGTGAAGATCTCACATCTGTTTGCAGGCGGCTCCGGTCCGAGTGCAGCGCAGCCGCAAGCAGATCCAGGTCGGGCTGGTTGGTGGACTCGGCAGCAGACATAGCCCCACATAGCACGCATGCTCAGATGCGCCGAAGTTGGTGATGGCCTCTCGCGGCCTCAGTGGCCTGATCGAGAGCGTAGGCTGCGCGGGCTGTTCTTGTTTCCCACTGGAAAGATTCACAAAACCGCCCGATTCATTCGATTGCTGGTGCTGCACCTTGAAGACAGAGGTGCCTGCTTTCCTTGCGTGCTTCAGGCGGAATGCAAGTCGAGGAAGAAATGCGAGAGAACACGGTTCTCCTGAACGTGTACCCACTTGCTCTGTACAGAATGACGTTTGTTACAGTGCCGTTGCTACCCGCATATCTTGCGATGAAAGGTACGATGTCAGTGACAGCAGGGGGCCTATCAAGCCATTCATGTGATATCAGTTCCAATGCCGGGAGTGACCAGGTGTTGTCTTACGTTGAAACGAACGGCAGTGAATGGAGTTGTAGCAACTAAAGAGAAAAAGTTCGAAGCACATGCAAGGTGATGTCATCCAGAGGGTGAATCGCATCCTCACTGTGGATGACAATGTCCTAGCCGGAGGCTGCTAAAGTGTGTCGATTTCGGGCAAAGTGCGCACATCGGTTAAAGCCTCGTGCGATGCCTGTAGGTTGCGGGAAGTTTTTCTTGTCACTAGTGGGTGCTGTTGTTTAGCCTCGAGGCACACCTGTCCGTGGAAGCTTTGAGACCGAAACCCTGGGCAGGAGTCTTTCACGCAGGTGTGGAGGCGCAGCAGTCGAGACGTTTTTGGGCAGTTTGTTCGATGAAAGTGTTGTTGACACAAAGTGCTGCGCCAGCTCGTTTCAAGGTTTACGGCAAGGAATGGTGTTATGGTGCCACAGTGCACACGCCTTAGGTTTGCAAATCTGCTGTGTTAGCATCGCCGCAGACAATCAGCCAAGGCCGGGGCGGACTGGTGTGGGGGCAGCGACTCGGCCACACGGAGTTGAAGCTGCCATCCCACCTGCGCTGCTGACATCCCTCTGCTTGTTGCGCACCGAGGTGAAACCGCGCATGCACCCACAGCACAGGCATTTGCGGGTGAAGTTCAATTTCATTGTCAAGTGCTTTGTAGTTCTAGATTAGTGGTTCTAACGGCATGCTGCTCATGATAATCGCAACATTCGAGCATCTGTAGCGAGATATTCCATGTCCTTGCAGAAGCTGACGCCTTCATCGTGACATACTTTTGTGATCAGGTACCGTGCCACTGTGAATATGGGCATTGCCAGCATGTTTCCTGCAGTGAAAGGCGGCCCTTTAGCAAGATGATGTCAAGCCACGGACAAAGCCGATTCTGACAGTGCAACAATGCATCACAGGGAAACAAGTTCCTTCGGGCATCATGCCTGAGTGCTCAAGTGGCCGCTTGCTTCGTGTCTGTAGTTTCCTTGGAGGCTCCGGTGTTCAGATTCAGAGTGCGTTCAGACCTGTGTGAAGGCCCGGGTCAACGTCGTAACATAATTGCCGGCGCGTCTCTGGCCCCAGCTCCCACATTTGCGCAAGGAACGCGTTGGTAGCCTAGATAGATAAGCTGCATGATAAACTCATCATCACGTAAACCGCTTCCGCGAAAGTCGATGCCAACCTGCCAGGCCAAACCCAGAAGACGCCACAAGAAGTGAACCATCTTCTTGCAGGCTTGGTGTCGCATCTGAATTGTGCAGTTTGGGCTTGTCATCCTGGCTCAACAGGCATGGCAGCACAATGGACCGAAGCTCAGCAGGGCTTCAGTGATTGGGGGCCGAAAGGGCCTGTGATGCCCGGTGTTGGACAGGTTTGCCCAGCCGTAGAAGTTTGGCCTGGAGCCTGCAAAGCCACTCGCAGTTTTGCCGGAGGCCTGGTAGCTCGTACGACTTGATCCATCACAACTGCCTCAGCTTCTGCAATGCTCCTTGGCCAATGAGGGATCTCTGATAAATTCGGGGTTGAAGCGTGCAGCATGCTGTTCAAGAGTGCCAGGCTGAACTCTCACATCAAACGTCTTTGATCGGAAGTTCTGTCGCAGACGTCACTGTTGATGCGAGGATATTCCCCACGAGTGCACTGTGTTTATGGCATTGACAGCTGTATGCTTTTGAGGTGTTGCTCGGTGAGCTCGGCTTGAGGCGAATCCCCGGTTGGGCAGGGGCCCTTTCCCCCCGGAGCCACAGAGGGGATAACTTCGGTGGTTGAAAACTCAGGTGGATCGAGCGGCTCGGGCAGCAAGCCAGGTGGATAATGTCGTCAAGGCAGTGAGGAGCAAAGACCGCTGATTGAAACAAGATTGGGCTAGACTTCGCATGTGTTTCTTGGCGTCAATGAGAGTCTCGATGCTATGCTTGGTCGAGGAGCATCAGCACCGATGAGGCCACTTCATCAGATACATGCAGTTGGTCGAAGTGCGCTGTGCTGAACACGCGCCGCGATAGCTGTCCTGCACATGTTTGCAGGTGTCGGTGCAGGCGGAGGAGAGGCTACAGAGCTTGAGGCCTGCAGATGCCTGTAGTGTGATTCAGTGTGGGTGAGTCGCTGCCTGTGTGAAGGCGGGAGTCCTTTGCCGCCCTCGAGGCGGCCAAAGACGGGACACAGAAACTCTTCGAGCGGGCCCAGGACATTTGGGGAACCCGAGGCGATTTCGAGTTCGTGGCCTCGAGCGAAGCTCTTGCCCAGGAGCAGGCGCAGCAGCCACTGTCCGAGGCTCCTCGCTGCCTGGCTTTGCTTCCGTCTAGCGGTAGGGCCTTGAAGAAGACCGGGCACTGCCGGACAGGGCTGTTGTACAGGTGCAAGACCTGGGTGTCAAAGCAAGCGAGCTGGCGGGCAAGGCGACATGCATACGCAACATGGTTGTCTGGCCACCCAAACTGGTAATGATTATTGATGCTTCTCCGGGATGGCGCGCTTCGAAGCAGACTGGAATCTCTAGTGAAACCTTTCCTTGCGGGAGGCGCAGGAGCAGCTGCATTCTGTGGGTGCGAGCCTTTGGCAGCTGGAAGCTCGGTGCAGTGCTGGAGATTAATGTAGCCGCGAGGGCGAGCGCGGCGTCGGGGTGGGGAGGCGCCGGAAGTGGGGGAGTGGGTGGGGAGAAACTGGGATGAGCGTTCGGAGACTGGACCTCCGTGGGACACACGCCTGGACGACCCAAAAATAAGGGGGCGAAAAGCAAAAAATCGAAAACAAAAGCCTCATCTGTGGTCGGGCGGCCAGGGGGTATCTGGGGGCAGGACAATGCCATAACATGGTCCCATGGAACCAGATCAAGACGCCCCAGGCCGGCCTCGGCCGATTAGTTTGGACCGTGCCAAGGAGAGCTTGAGACCGGGGTCCGACTTCTAAGGTGGGGACAAAATCTCCAGGAGTCTGTCGGCATGTCGGAGGCACCACATACTACACCCCGCCCTGCCGTAGGTTCTACAGCGTAGGATTCAGGGGCCGGTTGGACAGGCACCAGCACTTTCCGAGCTCGGCAAGAAAGCGGAGGACAGCCTCCTGCTGGCTGCGGGGAGCATTGCGTGGCATTTCTTATGAGAGGACAATTGGCAGACCCTGTCCGAGAACATTTGGACGTGGGGTCAGTCTGTCACGCAGGCGTGAAGGGATGGCTGAAGCTTGTAAACAGCCTTCGAAGCTTTTTGCCGAATAAGCTCATCTTATTTGCTCACCCTGTCCGAGTGTGTCTCACCTTGCAGGATCTGAAACAGACCTTGGAGGGGCCGCCGCCTTAGATCAGCGCCGAAGAACTCGAGCGCGTGGTTTCAGCGAAGCTTGGGTGGAACAGAGAGCGCTTGAAGACCCAGGCCCGGAGTTGCTCGCAAGCAATCCTCAAAGACAGCTGGGCTCCTACTTCTGCGGGCGTGCTGCGGATGTCGTGTGGCAGCTTAGACACCTGCGATCGTCGATCGTCGCAGCGGCGTTTGTGCTTAGGAGACTGCGAGCCAAAAGGAGGACCTGCGCTCCTCCTCGGCCGGACTCATCAAGGCGGAGCGACGCATGCGGCGCCCTCGAAGCGGCTTTTGTCTTGGTGGTCATGGGGAGGCCCAGGAGACCAGCCTTTTGAAGCAGGGTCTGCTGGAGGACGAGGAGCTGCGGACGGATCGGAAAATGCGAAGTTCTGAGAGTTGACAGCCTTGCATGGCAGGACGGGGATGATGTCAGCTCGCGCGAGGCATGGCAAACGGATGCGAGCAGTGCAGCGACACAGAGGCTGTGATCTAATTTTCTGAAGGCGGAACTAGTGAAGGAGGCAGGGTCGTGCCACCGTGCCACGCCCGGCGGTGCAGAAAACCCCGAGCAGTGATCTGGCAGGCCCCCTTGGAGTGGGCGTCAGGGAAGCAATCTGAGAAGGCTTCCACCTCGCTTGACAAAGCCCGCTTCAGCAGCTTGTCCTACAATGCACGTGTCAGGGAACGGCCGACTTCAACCCTCCACCCCGCGGGCCTTCCTTGCACGTGTTTTTCTTCCTGCGTCTGTAGTTCGCGTCGTCCTGAATCGAACAGGCAAGACCTCCTTGATATGGGCGTGCTGAGCTCAGAAGCTGAGGTAGTCACGGCTTTTCGTGAGAGATCGTGACCACAGCCCAGTCTTCATGAGGACGGCCCAGCACCAGCGAAGGAGGCACCCCAGGTGCATCCGCTCATCTTGCTCTGGCTCTCGTGACCTTTCGTGCAAAAGCAACTGGCGGGTGAACGACCCAAGCTGCACCAGGCTGCCGTCAGCTTGCTCGATTGACTGCGCCCTTGAGAGGTGTTAGGCGATGGCTCAGTAGGCCCAGGGTTCCGTTCTAAGATGCGCCTCCCAAATCGGGAACGGCTCTGCTCGATCTTCGAGTTTCACCTGATGGGCATCGTAGGAGCCGTAGTGATCAGTTCAAGCCACAGAACTGGCTCACCGGCGAGACACCAGCTCATGTTGCTCCGAGCACCTGCTGTTCCACGGACTGCATCTAGTGTGCACAACACTTTCGGGCGCATCCTGTCTGCTGCATCTCCGAAGGAGTGGATAGAGCGCATGGACGATGAAGAGGGAGAGGAGGATGAGGACGACCTCCACATGAGACCGTGCTCTTTCGTGTTTCTTGTGCTAAACCCTTCGCCGCTTTTTGACTCTTGGCGAATCCGATCGAGGGCGACAGCAAGTTCCGCTTTTGTCTGCTTGGTGGTGTGGACTCCACGGAGGTGTATTGAAACGGAAACTGTTCGAACATGCTCGTCATGTCAGGCTGGAGTCAAGAATGTGGGATGACCCGTTTTTGGCTGTTCCGATGTCTGGAATATGTAAGTGGTTCTCGGCGCACTCAAGACTGAACCTCCCGGGAGGGCATCGTGAAAGATGTGGAGGCTCGGAATCATAATTGTTCATGCCCTCTTCAGTTCACGCCAAGCGTATAAATGGATACGTGACAAGCCGGCTATGCGGACCTCGCGGGCGCATGGTCACAGTTTTCTATTCAACCAAGCGTATATAGATGTTCATACCTAATCGTTCCAAGCTGCCGCAAGTCTCTAAGCTCTCGTATTTGTTCGACCCCACCTTCCGCAAATACCCCGTTGCCGGGTGGCAAAGTGTCGACCGCAAGAAAAGCCCACAAAATGCAGTGCATCCAGGCGCCCTCCAAATCGAAACCTCAGAAGCCCTTCAGAAGCCCGGCAAGCCTTGCGCCTGTCGAAAAAGGACGAGCTCTTCCACACTGGAGAAGAATGTATTGATCGTGTGGCCGAGGCAGGGCTTCTTACCGGGCGGGGTGGGCAGGTACAACTTCTCACTCCCAGGTTCTGTGTAAGCACAGGCACTCGGTATGGGAAAACGTATGCCTGGTTGGACCCCTTTGGTCTTAGGGCAAGGCGGTGCTGTCAGCTTATCAAGCTCATGACTCTATCCGCGAACACACCACACACACACACACATGTACACATAATGGATGGAAAAGCACATGCATTCACGTATAAACACGTACATACACGAATATAATATAGATATATAGATACACAAACACATATATATATATATATGTCTGTCTGTCTGTCTGTCTGTCTGGCTGGCTGGCTGGCTGGCTGGCTGGCTGGCTGGCTGGCTGGCTGGCTGTCTGTCTGTCTGTCTGTCTGTCTGTCTGTTTGGGTGTCTGTCTGTCTGTCTGTCTGTATGTGTGTATGTATGAATGCATGTATGAATGCATGTATGTATGTGTATACAGTACATATGTGTATGTACATAAATCTACATGTATTAACTGTCTATGTGATGGGAAACAGACGTAGGCATCCAACTTCATGCGTAGATGTTGGTCATGACCTTACTGCCCGGCCCTTGGGCCGTATTCTAGTCTCCTCGCTGCTCGCAGAAGTTCTTTCGCTTGAGATTTTCTGAGTGTAGTTTTGTTCCATAGTCTGCTCTTTTACGTGTTTTGTCACAGAGGTGTTTACAAGCTCTTCTTCCTTTTGCAATGTCTTGACGTAGCAGACTGCACGTAGCCGACGTAGCCACTATGGTGTCCTTTTCTCGATTTCCTCGCCCCGCCTCAAGATTATCCATGCTACTGGAGCAATGGAAATCAAGGCGGCTACCATGGAGACCATCGCGAACGGCCTTTTCAGACTGATCGCACATTTCTCCCAGCAGGCAGGCGATTTGTAAGTTATATTTGTTGTCTTCTTCGTCGTCCTTGTGAACGGTCATCCTCGCACTCATGCTGGCCCCCGCACAATGATCATCGTCGTCGTCACCGCCACCGTCGTCGCATTCATCATCATCGTTATTGCCATCATCATCCTCCCCATCTTTCTCGTCGTCGTCGTCGCACTCATGATGATCATCATCACCATCGTCATGGTCCTTCACTGCCACTATCCTATTCGCATGGCCATCGTCCTCGTCATCATGGTCGTCCGTCGGCGTCACCGTCGTCCTCGCAGAAGTCCCCGTCCTCGTCATTCTCCATCGTCATCACCGTGACCTGATGATACTGTAGTTGTGTTCAGCCTGGAATAGCCGTAGCAGCAAAATAATCGGAGCAGCTGTAGAAAGATCCTTGTTCCAGGATTCATGGCAAGCGAAGCACGCAGCACTGGCGGCGGTGAAGCAGACCGTGGAGTACGTCGAGGAGAGATGTGGCCTCCGACCACTGTATCTTCGACGGTTTCTAGCAGCAGCAACCGACCGTGGTGTTGTTTCTTGCGTCGTCGGTGGTAAGAGCGATGATGAAGGCAATCCTTGTTCTAGCATGTTCTAGCATTGCAACATGATCAACCGGTGCCACACCACGGGTCGTCGCTGTTGCTGCAGTTCTACTTGCTGCTGCTGCTGCTGCTGCTGCTGCTGCTTCTGCTGGTCATGCCGTGTCATGCCGGCGATGACTTATGATGGTGCTGATGATGATCGTGTGCGATGCTGGCGTGCGGATGGTGGAACGGCGATGCCGATGACAACAATGACGACGACCACGACGACGACGACAAACCTGGTGGTGGTGAAGACGTTGGTGGCACGCTTCCTCATCATCAATATCCGGTTAAGGCGAGGCTGAGGACAAGAATTGAGAGGGTGGTGGAGCTGGCCGTGGCGAGTTGGACTTACGATCAGATGGGACAGGAGCACGAGGACGAGGACAATGATAATCACGATGATGAAGTTTGGAACAAACACTTTACTGTTACTAGTTATCGCTGATGCAGAAGGAGATGGTGGTGAGCTGTGGTGAGTATGATGCTGGTGATACAACTGTGTATGCAAGACGCTCAGTGGTACGAAGTGACTACGGCTACGATCAGTGCCCAAAGAAGAACACTTTGAACATTCTTGGCATGTAAAATAAATACATTCGAGGAAGAGCATGTGGACGAGATGGCCAAGCTTCTGCTCGGACACGTTGATCATCCACATCCAAGGCATCCTTTAGGGTCAAATTCCGGCTTTGTGCATCTTGATCGGCACTCCAAAGCACTTGAATTCAGGGTGCGCTTCACTGCTCTCCATGGTCTGGGCAGAGGGCCCCAGCAGATCGGCACAGCTGCAAACTATGATCAGCCCAGTGCACCCTAACATGAGGACAGGACAAGGACACGGCTGCTGTGTAAGCGCCGAAAGTTGCCTCACCCACCCAACTGCGAAGATTCAACATCTACTTGTCCTACTTTCGAGAGCCTGAAAGCACGTCGTTCCCGAAGCAATGAGTACAGTAATGTTTGTTGAGCGATTGGACCGCCCGGTGGAGAATCACAATGCGCACTGCTCATCCTCGCTCTCTCGGCGAAAACCGTGCCGCTCGAGTGTACAGCGGCGCCTACGCCGCATCAGGTGGGATCATGCATTCCAAGCCCATTTTGAGCACGTAAAGTGCTGGCCAGCCATACTGGCATCCAACACTGCAGACGCATTGCGGCCACCAAGCATATTGGCATATTGCCTAGTTTCCGGTGCTTTCCCGTGTCTACAAGTGCCTGACTGTGCTCTAGTTTAGTCGGATGAGTACTTGGCGACGGGTACAAGCTTTCCTGTCCGTTCTTTATATTAGATATCCTTGTTATCTAGGACCTGGTGTGCCGAGGTCAGCTTGCCAACGACCAGTCTCCGCACTTTCAGGATGATGCTGAGTGTTGGCCAGTCAAGTCTTTCCTGACAAATTTCAGGCGCACGGCGTATGTATATTACATTTATAAATCAGATGGACACATACACCTGCACGACGGTATCGTTTGCCATGCACCATGGTAGATAAATGGAAGACTTCGCTTATTCGCTGGCTCCTTCATTCCTTCATTGATCCATCCATCTATGCACGCATTGATTTATTCACCCACTCACTTGTTCATGCATTTGTCATTTTTAGCTGAATCCTTCTTTCAATCATTGCTTCTATCATCTGAGGCATGCAGCAGACAGGCAGATGGACATACATGCACGACAGAACTCTACATAACGCTACACCGCGCAGCATAAAACAGCACAACATATCATAACATCAAAACACATAATTTGTCACAGAATAGTGCAACACCATGCAACGTAGCATAGCGCAACGTAGTATTTGACATCAGATCTTCATAACATGTCATATCAACAGAGCTGTGCAGAACACAGCATAACACGCGCGTGCACACACACATACGTCTTTTTTGTAATGCTTATTTCTGCATTTTCACATATATATATATATGTACGGAAAGGTACGCTGTGGAGGGTGGGGGTTTGGAACATATACATAAGCAACCTAGGCAAGATGAAGAAGAGAAGATGTCTGATGAGATGTAACAGCATGTCGTGTGCTGACGTCGGCTTGCTGCGGAGAACGCACGTGAACTCCCTTCCCTCTTCGCATCTCATGTGTGAGTGTCGCGGTGAAGTGCGACATCGGAGGCCAAGCTCGTTGAAACATCTACGTAGCAGGACGCTGGAAGCTTTGCCTGTGGTCCCTGGTACAGCGTTTTGATACCAGTCCCCTAACTATCAATAGGATGCAATACGACCGTATCGTGTCATGTCAAATATACCCATACATATATACCTATATACATACGGACATACATGCATACATACATACATACATACATACATACATACATACAACATACATACGCACATACATACAGGTATAGACATACATAAATGTATATACATACATATATACATACATACAAACATATAGACAAGCAAACATACGTATATATATATATACATATATATATATATGCATGCTTAGATACATACATACATACATACATACATACATACATACATATATATACATATGTGTGTATATATACCCACATACAGACATATACTCATGCTGCATGCTTATATAAACGTCCAGGCTGTACACATGTATCAACATCTCCATGCTTCATAAGTCTTCAATGGCAGACATGTGCATGTATGTATGTATGTATGTATGTATGTATGTATGTATGTATGTGAAACGAATAAGAAACAGCATGTTACACAACTGTGTAGATACATCATACGGGGTCCGCTGGGATGTGAAGAGTAGGGGGACCGCGATGGGTTGCTTAGCCAGGAGAGATCGCACCAGCAAGTTATGCCCGTTCTGACCCGGAAGATGGACGATCAGGTGGGTTAAACCCGTGATGAAAGCAAACAAAGCTGTGGCCGCTGGGGAATCGGGCGAATCGGGAGCTTCGTGAGTGGACGTCGACTGGGGTCAACACTAGCCACACAATCGCTCAGAGCTCACTGATAGCCTTTTGTTGCAAGTCTTCAGGGCCTCATTCGTCGCATCCTTGAGGTGGACCGCGTGTCAGCCATGGCCATGTCCGCCTTCGTCTCATTTGGCGAGGCCTTCGAGCACGTTCAGTAAGTGTAGTGCGATCCGGATGAAAATTCTGATGTCGAGGGTTGCTATCATTGCCTGTATCATTGGTGTTGCTCTTCGCGTGCGTTTGCGAGTGTTGTTGTTGGTTGTTGAGACTGGTGGTATTCAAAGCATCACAGTCCTTATCAGTGTGACTAGGGTGGTTTCTGCAACGAATGTGAGTGAAAGCATAAAGAAAACATGTGGCTCTGTCCAATCAGGTGTACTCCTAGGGAACCGTAAACACTTTAAGTTCGTAGTGTGCGGTGACATACATGAGAGGCAGCAATAACGTCGACCACGATAGTAGCAACGACAGAACCACTGCCGCTGGTCCTTTCAGAGTTAAGGTAGTCACTCGTGCTACAATACGATTCAGTAGAGAGAACGGTACAAACAGCGAGAGGGTACTACGAGAATATGCGATTCGAATACTGCAGCGATGTAGTGCGAGCAACACTAAGAGCAAGACCGCACTAGAACGATAAACCTGGCAGGAGCAACAGAATGCGTAATGACACATGAACAAGAATGCCCACCAAGAGCTGGGCAGGAGCTGGACAACTCGTTGATGCACGGGCTACCCCGGCAGGTCTTGGAATTACGTCTCTTTCATGCTGTTGTCGAGCTTGTATGCGTCTCTCTCCCTTTCTCTCGCATACTCCTCTGCATCGTGGTACTGACTGTGCTAATGCTTCAGGACCTTTCCTGCCTGAGGTGCTGAGGCATTGCAGCCCATTGGCCCATTGGGATCGGCCCTTGAGCAGAAACCGCACGGATCTCTTCGTAAAGCCTACGACTGTGGTGACACCTCGGACCCTGCTTGCCAGTGCAGAGCAGTAAGGGAGGATGACGGCAGAGAGAAAGAACACACACGCAGACACAAAAAGACAAGACAAGTCCTCCTGCCTGGCAGAATCTTGGGTAGCGAGATTTAGCACCTGACCTGGGTAATGGCGCAGCAAGTCCAATGGAGGCCTGCGGCGCAGGCTGGGTAATGAGACGGGGGGTTTCGCTTCTAACGGAGGAACCGTGCTTTACACCTGGAAGAGTCCGAAAGGCATATGTGGGCGCACCGCCTGTAATGCGCGGCTCGGCAGCCGTTCAGCCAAGGTGCGGCAGATCAGTGCAGGCAAGCCACTGCGCAGAAGTCGACTTTTGCGAACACACTGGATAGGTCCGTGGCACCTGTGGATCATCCCATGATGGCCAACTGCCAAAGACCACTGCAGCCAATCGTCGCACAAACACAGAGGCTTCAAGCCCGTCCTCACATGGCGCAGCTTGGTCGCAGCTGCAGCACCAGGCACTTTCATGGACACCATGTGGCCATGTCTTGCAGTCTCATGTGCTTGAGGCTGCCTGCGGCTCACGGGTCACAGGCGCATGCCTTCAGACCACAGCTGGTCCAGCAAGTGGCCAGGCAGGTTGCTGTCATTTCTTTCATATTAAAGCATGCCTGATGTGCATCGATGCCCGAGGCCGATAAGTGTGCAAATGGCCGCACAAAGCACAGGGCCGGCACATGCAGGCAGCTAGTCAGCCAACGGCTCCTTCCGCTCCGCTTGACTTAAGCTTTTTCATCCACCCAGGTCCTCCCACCGGCGGCCAATTCATGCCAGAGCCACGACGCTGGGAGCCGCCTCAGCTGCACCCTCAACGAAGACCTAGAGCTCGAGCTTTCCGAGCGGCCCGTGTGCGAAGGCATGCAACATGTGGTCGGAACAGCCCCACTCTGCAAGTGACAAAGGCTTCAAAAGGAAAGGTCTGCGCCCATTCCAACCCAGGCGAGGTACTTCAACCTTCAATGTGTCACATCATAAGCATTCATGCTCCAGACTCCAGACGTGCCATGCGCCGTGACTTCGACAGGTAGGAGACAGCGTTGCTCACCTCTCCACACCACAGCATCTTGGCAACACTGAGGCTTGCACGGTGCATTTTTTCCAGTCCAACCACATCCCCGACCCTAGGCTGGTTCAGCTTTGCAAACACCACACCCAAAGCCTTGAGACCAAGAAGTGACTTGGCCTGCAGTTTCGTGTGGAGACTGTTTGACACTCCGAAGGCTTTTGTCGAAACAGTAATATTCTCTGACTGAGGCAAATCTTGGCAGAGAATGTTAAAGAACAAGGCCTCGTTTCGCAGATGCATTGGTTCTCGGAGGATCAGTACCTTTGGCTTTTGGCTTGCAAGCAACTGCCCGGCTTGCTTGCGCTTGCACTGCGAGGCAGACTTCTAAAGGAGCGCGATGCACTTCGAAAGCGAGCGCAGGCACTGGAAGGCGCTCTAAGCGCCGCCTCAGGACCCATGAGATGGGATGAGATGGGCTCTATGTGAACTTATGTGAACTGTGCGAACTGCCAGGACCCTTAAGCATCCAGCCGGCCAAAGAAGTCGAGGGTCCTGTGGTCGCGCCAGCGCAGGTCTCCACTCAAGCACCGGCAGCACAGATGGCGAAAGCAGTGACGCCTGAACCTGCCACTCTACCGAGGGTGTCACCCACAGTGCATTCTGGTGCAGCAACGTCACCGGCGCTAGCCGTCGGTGGAGATTTTGTGAACCACACTGTGAGGTCGGCAGAAGTGCAATCAGCTGCGCCAGCCACACCAGCCGAGCCCTGTCGCCCAAACTTACTGGCCACCCTCCCAGCTAAGCAGATTCCTCCAAGTGCTGCGGACAGATTACTTGCGTCCCAGCCTGCTCAGCGGGGTCTTGCGGGTCCCGGGCAAAGCCCTGACAGCCAGCTCTCGATCCTTGCAGCACCTTCCAGTACAGCACCCCACCCGACCAACACCGCAGCATTTGCATCACCGTCAACATGCATTGCAAGCAGCGGCGAGCTGCCGACCAGCGTGCCTACACAGCCTACACACTCAACACACGACACTCTTGCGACAGCTCTGCCAGCTGTTTCATTACCCACACCACGACCATCTGACAGTCAGCCAGCAGAGCCTCTTCAACAGCCTCAGCAACTGCCACTCCATGAAGTGATGACGGCACCGGTCCAGCAGCCAGACCCTGTTGCTCTGGCTGGTGGAGCAGAGCTGCACGCTACGCCTCTGGAAACAGAACCCGAGCAGACGGAACAGGAAAGTGTTGCTGCAAGAAGTCCCGTCGGCAGTCCTGCAAAACCGACATCCCCAGAGGAAGCGGCTGGTGTTGCAGTTTCGCCTGGGCATTTGGGTAGTCCCGAGCCTCCAGTCAAGCCCATCTTCACAGCATTTAGCGAATCGCCGTCGAGCCCTTCGCAGCTGCCCTGCAGCGGTGATGCTGCAGCTGGTGTAGGCCGGGCTTACAATATTGATGGAGGTATAATGTAGGATGACGTCGGTCAGCTGTTCTTGAACCAGTTCTTCTTGCCGTTGGCAGCAGGCGGTCCCGTGGCGGAAGAGTCCAAGGCATTTGGCACAGCTTGGCTCTACATTTTTCTGTGGTGAGCTGGTCATAGCTGGTCGCAGTCCAGGCGTCCCCACATTCCCTGGTCTTGGGCAGCCTGGACGGCAGCAGTGCTTGATCCCGAGCCTCTCTCTGACCACAATTGTGATCTGACATCGAAGTGAACTTGCCATCCCAAGCTTGCAGGTCGTGCCCGACTGCGACAACCTGGCAAACAAGGAAGAGGGCACTTCACCGCAGGCGCCCACGCCGGAGAGGGTTGCGGCACCGGCGGCACATCCGGTGACGCAACCCCAATCACCCGAGCCACAGGCGGGGGGAATAGGGTGGAAGGGTCATTTGGGCTGGAGATGGCTGGAGAGGACTTGGCGTCCGTCCCTGTCTCTAGGCGGCCAAGGTGGACAGCGTGCCCATTCCCGAGGAAGTCATGGCACGAGCCCTTCCGGATGGCACCATTAGGTTGACGTGGTTCTTTGACGAGGCACTGTTCCGGAGCGAAAACATTTGTGTTTCATCAAGCTTGGTCGAGCTTCATACGTGCAGAGGAACTGCTCGAGCAGCTTTCCAGCGGTTCTCCGAACACCCTCAGCTTCGAAATTTGCCAGAAGTCGGAGACGGTGGGAGGCATGGCACGCATGCACAAGCCACGAGCAGACAGTCTGCAAAAACTTGTGACTGTGCGTAATTCACCGTTGCTGCTCGGCAAGGCCACGTGAGAATCCGACAGCACAGCTGCCACGCCAGACTGCCTTTCAAAGACGGTCTTGTCCAGGCACTGAAGATTCATGCTGCGCAAGTCTCCATCAAGCCTTGCTGCATGCTTTTCCAATGAGAGATGCATGCTGTTCCCGGATATGGATATGCAAAATTCGAAAAAGTCAGGAGCAGTTCTTCATCGTGGAGGGTTGTGCGCCGGGTCGTCCCTACTCTTTCAGTGTTCGGAGCTGCCTTGAGCGCTTGACTCAGAGCTTCTGTGTACCTTGACAGCACGGAGCATGTTGGGCCCCACGAGCAGCGATCACATTAGGTCTTCGTCGGGGTCGACGCAGGTGTCCGACTATAGCGACCCTGTGACTTGCAGCGCTGCAGGACTGTCACTGGCTGATGTAGTAGCATGTAGCACCTCTGTTCGCCACTGCCTTGGGATTGCGTGGAGGCCTAGCAGGGTCAGTGCGTGGTCCTCCGTCTTTGTCGTCCACCTTGACTTCGACACAAGCGGCCCAAGAGATCGGAGTTGTCAAAGGCCCACTTAGCGATCTCCGTCCCAAGTCACAGCACGATATCTGGTTCTCAGCCAGGAGATGGGGCCATTCTGGTGCCACGAGAGGCAACGGGAAGTGGGCCAGTGGAGAGTCCGCCCTGCAACTTGCAGAAAGCTCGCGATGACCAGCCCTTCCAAGCAGCAAAGCCGGAGTTGCGAAGCGATCGATTACTACCAGATGAAGGATGCCGCCTCCGACAATGGCTGACTGTCGCTCGTCTATCTTGATTCAGGCAGCGCACCTCGATGCAAGACGTGACATCAACTTAGTTTTCGGCCTGATTGCGCTGGCCAGCTCTACCGTAAGCCCAGGACAAGCTCAATCCATCACCTGGCTCGACGGCCGCCTCGACTGCGAAGTGCCTTGGCCAGCACCTGCGAGAACGTGTACACTTGTGATGGCAAAAGGGGTGCCCGTGCCTCAGCGCCAAAGCCAGGTCTCCTGCAGGAGGTGAAAGCTCCATGTCTGTGAAACCAACGTCCGCTCAGCAGGCTGGTACGGTCATGTCGGCTGTCCACCAAGAAGAGACGCCTCTAGACGCCTCACCTGCGGTTCTGAGGCTGGCTCGCCACCGCAACTACAGACTGACCACAGCTTTCTGAGGCTTGTTGCCATCATCACAGATGCAATCGAATTTCATTCGCAGTATCCGACAGTTTTATCGCTAAGCTTCTCGAGACCTGCAGGCGGTGGCTGCAAGACCGTCAACTTCCAGCTGAGGTTGTGCAACCAGCAGCAGGTGGCTTCTGATTGATGCAAATTTACATCATATCGGCAGGCTTGTCAAACTTGTGTATGTGTGTCTAGGTATCTGTATGCATGTGCGCAGCTGACTGGCTGGCTGGCTGGCTAGATGGATGGGTGGCTGGCCGGCTGACTGGCTGGCTGGATGCATGCACTCATGAATGTCAATATGAATACAAACTTGAACTTGAACGTCAATGTGAATGACTGAAGGAATGCATGCATGCATTCATGCATGCATGCACGCGTGCATGGACGCGTGGATGGATGGACGGAGGGATGGTTTCCGATTCTTGGTTTGGGTTTAGAGTTTGGACTATGGGGCTGACCCTCCTACAAAGACTATAGCGATACATAGGTGCGTAGATAGGTTTCTATTTGTGTTTCTGTCTGACTCTGTCTCTCAGGCGCTTGCTCTTGTCTAGGTGTCACTGCCAGAGCGGAAGCCATGTCCCCTCGTGACAGGTTCACCCGCGGCCGGTGACAGAGCTGCTCAGGCTCCCATGGCTCCTGTGGCTCCCCTTAACAAGCGGATCCAGGAGGAGTCTCCAGAGCCAGATGCTCCCGTGCTTGCAGGCCCCCATCCATCAGTCTGAAACTCTTCTACCAAATTTGCTGCGGCCATGCTGGCTTCACTCTCTTTGAGTCCCTGCCGAAAGACCTCACACCACAGTCGCAGCGCGCATATGATGGATCATGACGGGGATGTAGAGCAGACAACAACTAAACACGATGCCAACAACGCGTGAGATATTTCCAGATCTGGCAGGTCTAGCACCACCCGTTCAGAGAAGCGCTGCTGCGACCACTGCTGCGAGCTACCAGCCGTTGAGGCCTGAAGCACTGACCTTTCCACTTCTGCACCTTTCAACTTCTGGCTGGTCTTAGGTCTGATGCCGATGTCGACATCACGCGGCTGCCAGCCGACCAGGGTCGCGTGCAAGTGCCAGGTGCGTGCAGACAAAGTGCTGTCAGCATATCATGAGCTTGCAGATATTGCATGTAGAGCTCTGTTGATGCAGCTACAGATGACTCGATCAGGTGGTGCTGCCGATCGGAGGCGGGAGCAGGGATAAGCAGGGCGGAAGTAGCAGAGTGACGTGCAAGGTTGAAGCTCAGAGACTTCACTGTTCAGGCACGAGACGAATCCACCGTCTTGCCCAGACTTCAGGCCTCCGGGGTGCTGAAGGCCTTTGTGTCGCAGAAAGAGTGCAAGTCGTGGCAGGGTGCATGTCCGCCCGGACGGCACCTTCATTGGGGCCGCGCGCTCGCAGTCCTTTGGAGGCTTGGAAATCGGGGAGCTCGAGCTACGGGCCGTAGAAGTTTCTTCGCTCAACACGGCCGCCCTTCATCTTCAAATTTTCGGGTACTGACTGTGATTACACAGAGTGTGGAGTATTTACCCGCAGCGACGCTGGATGGCTTCCTGCTGGCACGGATGTCTTGTGAGAACGATCTAGTTGGATATTGTGACCTGCTTTCTGAGACCATCATAGCTGTTCCTGCGGCTTGTGTAGCGCGGTTGTTCTGTGCGAGTGGATGGTTTGTTGAGCAGCTCTTGTTTGTTTTGTGCTGCTTTTCTTCTGCAGTTCCGTGTTTGCATCAGCAGGCTGCTTCTTGGCTATCAGTTAGCGGCTTGCTCATGTGTAGGAGTGTTGCCCTCGAAAAGCTCAGAGTTGATGCAAGGTTCCTCGTAGTTCTGAGTCGAAATCTTGTTGTCACACGGCATCAAGAAGCAGCTCTGCTGAAGAATGTTTTTCTCTTGGCCAACTCTGCCCTAGAATCGCAGAAGACTGCATTTATTATCTTCAGACACGTTTCCTACATATTCGTTGGAGGCAGGCCTGTGCTGCCGGCCTTGTAAGCTGGCACTGTGCATGCTCTGTGTTGCTTGCAGATGACTCGCCATGTGATCCAACGATGAATGATGTCCTCCTTCGAACTAGCTTATGATCAAGACCAAGCTGGATGAATACTAAGTCTAACTGCGGGAGCACGCCCATTTGAGTTTCAGAGACCACTCGGCAGTGGGCTTTGCCGGGTGAGATTGTCGCGCGACAAGGCTGCTCGTAGCTACCTGTGTAAGTTGGCGGTTGAGCGGCATAAAGACACAGAAACGTGAATTCTGAAGTCCATTCCTTGGGACCCGAGTTTCGCCAACAGGAGTGGAGCGACGACAGACTCTCGCCTCGGGCCAGATGCCTGGCCAGCCGCATGCCTAGATGCTGTGACAGGGCGCTGTCGTCATAATACAACTTGGTCGCACTTTGTCTATCTCGAGTGGCGCGCGCAGGGCAGACATGCCGCGGTCCGTGCGGCACTGCCAGGCATTTAGCCCGGTATCGCGTCTGCTCGGCATGGCTTTGTGTTTGGAAAGCTTGTTGCTTGCGTTGCCCTTGACTTTTGCGCCACTTCGCCACTTCTGAATGTGAGCGGTGCCAGGTGACGTTCGCGGCCAGCAGCTGCCGATGTCTATATCTATAGCGCCGCCGTCGCCCAGCGGCTCCTTCGCAAGCCAAGCAGGCGCTGTGGCATCGTGATGCCAGTGGAGGTGTGTCGATCCAAGCAGCCCTTCAGGCCTGTCCAGACCGGCAGATGCCTGGAGCTCAGAGCATACCTGATGAATGTTTTCATGCGGGATCACTCCAACCACATTGATTACAAGTGCGATCGTTGCGCTACATGATGCTACGTGTGTCTTCCGCATCATGAGAAGATTGCACGGAGAACGGGTGCCAGTCGCTCAGAATACCTCGAAAGCCCAAGCAAGAAGCTCAGGCCCTCACCACCGTCACCAGCCTGGCGCCAGCAGGAGGGACGGCATGGAAAACAGGCACGGTCAACATGTTGGTGTTCTTGCGTACATGGCTGTGCCCCAGCACAAAGACAGAAAAGGCGCTGAAATCTTGGACCCTATGAACCCAGGCCAGCCGATGGCGCAAGACCCTTTCCAGACAAGGCCTCTTCAGAGCCAGGCTCACATGCCGCGCAGTTGCTTTCTTTAACTGCATTGTCACTCCCATATTGTCCTTCTTGCAGATTGCGACTGTTGTGACTCTGTGATCTGGAGGGTCAGTCTGCCCTCCTAGCGCCCTTCGGGGGCATGGGCTCATCGGAAGCGGCCAACTACCTGTTTGGACCGATCAATCCGAACCCGTTCGGTCTCTTGTCAGAACTTAATCTGGTCTGTAGTTTTCACTGCCGCTGGGCTTGATGTCTTAGCCGTGAGAGCGTCAGGTTCGGGGGCGATCGGAACGACGCGGCCCTTCAATTTTTCCGCACTAGGTCAGACGTGCAGAGCTAGTGGTGGCTGCCACTTGTTGAGGAGTGTGCTCCGTGTGCTTTGTTGAAGTTGTACAGGAGGATCCGTCCGCGACGCGCCGAGCGGCAACTTCTTTGCAAAGACGAGCTCGACGCCTACCTCCTACATGAGTCGAGGCATCGATGAGGTGCCAAGGGGGGACTGACGGAAGACCGAGCTAACATGAAGAAGCAAGTTCCAATCTAAACAAGCACAATCTATAGTCATACCTGGATTCAGGAGCAATCCCGGCCTTTCGACCCTCCGCCACCGCCACGCAGCGCCCCGTCACTGTGCCTCGGCATTCCCTGGCTTCAGCGTCACATTTTCGATGATATGATGCACTCAGTACACACATGGCTAAACCGTCACAGCTGGATACTGGAAGCTGAAGAATGCACGCCGAGGTACGGTGACGGCAGTGTGCAGTCAGCCCCCCTGCAGCAAGCGCAGCATCCACAGCAAAGCATTCCTTGGAACGAGCCTCGTCGAGGCAAGGCATGGTAGGCCGTAGGCTCGAGTGGGCTCCAAGAATTCTTGGGTGGGTGGGGGGAGGGAGCTGCGTCCAACTCCGAAGGTGCTTCCGGAAGTGTCGGCGGCTTTGGAGCTGCGCAGAGTGGTCTCAGCGGCGCTGTCGGCTGCGGTGTCGGAGTGACGCAGAACCTGGGATCCTTGAATGCGCAGGGCTTCAACAGAGGCGACACCATGGAAGCAGCTGCGTTGCATTGCGTTTTTTCGCACAGTTCCAGTCAAGCTTGAGCAGGCAGCCAAGCGAGATACGAACTGAGAGTTCGAATGTCAGACAGTCACTGGGAAAGCTTGAGATTCTCAGCCGGTGACTCGTCAGACTATGTACGAAATCTAACTTTGATGCATCGCACGGGGCACAGCAAGCAAGCCCACGTCTTGTGTTCAGAGATTCCAGGATTTCTGGGTCCAGTCGTCCTGGCAGCTAAGGTGACGACCTGGATTTTCAAGGAAGGCAGTTTATTCAAAGCCGCTCAGCCGATCAATCGAAGTGGCCTTAAAGCTTCAGGCTCACTGCAGTGTTTTTCCATGCCCCGCTCTCCGTTCCTGTCAATTTTGGGAAGGGCGTGTCCGCATGAAAGCATATAGAAGTGCAAGGACTCGGTCTGAAGAGTGCCTTTCTTTCCGGCCTCGTGGCAAGACTGCGGCAGATGGCGTCAATTCAGCAGGATTATGCAGCTTGGACGCAAGTAGAAATTCAACGGAACTCGCCCTCCTCAAGTTCAAGATCTGCCTGTCGTCAGCCCAGGCCTGTGTGGATGTGGTGGATCTCATTTGATTTCACGCTCCGCTTCCCGGACTGCGTCGTCTGGCGAAAGTAATTCGCATGGATGCCTGCGTACATCTATGATTCTGTATAAGAGGCTTCCCGGCGAGCGAGCTGTCACTCCGTGTACAGCAACCGGCAATGCCGGTGTTTGTGCGGCAGTTATCCATTGACGCGGTAGCGCTGAAGGTGCAATTTGGCCCATAAGTGGCAAGTACCTCGCTCCTCGCATCAGGGCAATGCTGAAAGCAATTCGGCTCCACACTCTAGTCATTAGTTGTGAAGATGACAGACCATATCGATTAGGATGACGATGCGGATGGCGACGACGATGATGGTGATGATGATGGTGATGATGATGATGATGATGATGATGACGATGATGCCGACGATGGCGCGGCCGACACCTTCGTAGCAGTTTCCATGCCCTTGTGGCACCCTAATTAGCGGCCTAGCGAAACTGGTTCAGGTGACCCAAGAATTATGAAGTATAACCAGGGAGCTCGGTGCCAGGAAGGTTGCCAGACTTGTGCTCGAGTGCAGGTTGTCAGAGGTACTTGTCGAGTCCGTATCCGAAAGCCTGGTCGAGAGTGTTTGCGAGTTTTTTGCTTGGGCTCATGCCAGGTATGCACGGCCCTTGATGGAGAAGCTGGCACACCGCCTAGCACATTTGCAATAGATAGTCACAAGGTATCAGGTGGAAGTGACGCTGCAATGCCGTACGGGCCGTATCGAGACGAGGTCATGAAGCTGCAAAACTCGCAACATCGCGGTGCCTGGGTCCCAGCGTCTGCGAGTCGTCTACTCCTCAAGCTGTCGGAAGGATGGAGCGGAAGTGGTACACTAGAAAGTGCTCCACGGCAGGTTCGGGAGGAGGCCATCACCTCCATCGCGGTCATCGCCGGCGTCATGGAGAAGGTCCGCCCTCGCAGCCGCGTCGCAGCCGTCCAGCTGACACCAAAGGCCGAGGGACGTCCCCTGCTTGTCCAAGGACTTTGTCCAGTACTATGACAGCATCATGCCAATGTTGAAGAGTTTTGTGATGACCGCCACCAGCAAGAAGGCGCTTTCGTCGTTGCCTGAGAATTTTGGGGCAAGAGTGCTGAGATTTGCATTCTGAGGAGAACCGACTTCGTGGTAAGTCTTTCGAGTGCATGTCGCTGCACCAGCCTCGGCTGCTTCCATTGTCATGTGCTAGATGCTAGTCTGCTAGTCACTCACTTTTTTGGTTTCTCTGTGTAAGTAGATTCTGGAATAGCAGCAGCCCTGCAGACACGATCCACAATTGTCTGCACCGTGGCAAAGAGCGGGAAGTGTGCTGCGTGTTCAGGCTTGGAATCGCGGTCGGAAAGGACGGCCAGATGCATGTTCATGTTTGCGACCTGGTTTGAGCATCGAGTGCACGATGCAGTGCTTGAAGGAGAAGTTCCTCAATGATGCGCGGGAAGCCATTGGGGCAATGATGAACACCCAGGTCGAGGCCCTGTGCTTAGAGAGCAACACTGCAGGGTTTGCGCAGCGAGCGGCAACAACCGCATGGACACCGACACCCGTGTGAGCCTGTTTCGCACCACGGTCTTGTTCTCGATCCGGTGACGAGGCTGACGATGTCCAGAGAGAGCTTGCCCGGCAGCAGTTGAGCTTCGAGCGCAAAGATGCGATTCTTTCATTGCCATGTGCCATGTGCGTACCGCCAGGTACATCAAGGAGGCCTCTGAGCGAATTTGTACCTGCCTGAAGAAGGAGCTCTCTTCCCTTTTCCGCAGAAAGAGCCTGGACATGTGCATGGAGCTCTCCTCTCTTGCGGTGTCCAGCCGAAGTCCTTTTCAAAAATTCGCACAAGCTGAACCGGAAAGGACTTCAAGCCTTTCTTGCAGCCGCTGCTGCCGGGAATCTTCAGGTGGCTTGCATGGTGGGATCTATGAGTTCATGACAAGACTCGATTTACGGATGCAGGAACCTTCGCCTGGACGACTTGCATGATCAGGCCCACGGCCCACCGACTCCGACAGAGTGGGTGAAATGCAAGCTCGTCGCATCGGTGCATCCGGAACTGCCCCCGATTTTGCTATCGCTTGTGTTTTGTTCCGAGGCCTCCTGCACTCCCGCTGTGTGCTGTCTTTGGCGGCGGTCAACTCTTACGCGTTTTCAGACTTGTAATTTCCTTCAACACAGAAGGACGTTTGGTCCAAACGACGAATGCAAGGATGTTATGCAACAGGTGTGGAAATGCAGTCAGCGTTCCGAAGCCAGCCCCGCGAACTTTACAAGCCTTCGAGGGGCTCGTAGCCCTCGCGGCCTTTGTTCAGTCTTTTTACGATTGATACACCTAACAACTATAAGCAGCTATCTACTTACTGAAGAAATCGGCAAGCCCAAATGAAGAATTGCAGTACCAGCCGACGGAAAGATGACCAAACTTACATGGATGCATAGATACATAGATACATGGGTAGGTAGAATACATGCATGCATGCATACATGCAGATATGCGCATATACTCAGATCTACTTACACACGTATTTAGCCCCGCCATCAGCACGAGCACCCTCACCATCAAACACCGCACTTGCGACACCGCAACTACCGCGCCCACACCTGTCACACGCACCAGCATCATGGTACGCATTCTTGTTGCTACTATTGCTGTTGCTTCTGCTGGTACTGACCTTTTTTTTCGGCAGTTGTCTTTCATCATCTCTGTCTGTTGTTGGGCAATGAACTTGACGACCATTGCGAGCACCTGGTATGGCAGCCCGGTAGTTTATGGCATCTCCCTCCTCTCCGTCGTTATGCAGTTGTTTCAATACTAACTGGCTGCAAGCAAGTCTGATACTGTAGTGTATTGGATCCTGCTTTGTATGAAGCTGTACCACAACATGTTCTACGACGTCCGAGAGCAACGGTACACCCGCCTTGCCGAAAAGAAGAGGCGCCAGCGTCGGGCGGAGCCGATGAGGACGAATATGTGAAGGTGGGACGAGCATGCCAGCAACAAACAGCTAACCTCTGGAAGCAGCACAGGTCTCGACAGGCGACGGCAAGACAGTCCGAGTCCACACGGAGAAGTTCCACGACATGATGCAGTCCGTGCCATGTCTTTGATTTTGATTTTCCGAGGCAATACCGAAGCCGTGTATGAGTGCGCGCATGTGTGCGCCAGTGTTTTAGCCATTGTCGATGTATGTTTATGGTAGCATCCAAGGTACAGCTCCTGCATACCTTCGTGACGGAGATGGAGTCAGGCAGGGCCTGCTGTTATGCAGTCAGGAATCAGGGTCCGTTATCCCCATTTGCAGAAGTTGGACTGTCATCCTAACCTGCCCGTGAGCTCAGGTTACTTCGAAGCCGTTCCTGATACGGCCCAGGTCCGTGCTACTTCGTGCTCTGTGGGACCTTTTAGATGGTCCTGCCTACAAAGCTCCTCGCTCTATCTTTACCTTGCGAGGTGCTTTTGCCTCTATTGTCCGCCACGGATGATGCATCAATGCTTTGCGACGAGGCTCCGCGTTTGCAATGGGTCCAGTTGCGGGTAAGTCGGTCATTAGTCAACGTGGACATGGAGAAGCAAACTGTCCTCTCGCTCGCTCTTTCTCTCCCTCATTCTTCCTCTCCCTCAACCGTCTGCTCTCTGTCTCTGTCTCTGTCGCTGCTCTGTCTCCGCCTCTGTCTCTCCCTGTCTCCAGAGCTCTATCGCTCAGGTGCGCGGAACTGCTTTGCAGGTTTGGTCCCTGCTGATCAAAGCGGCTAGGCTCGGAGCGCAGGACGGAGGGGAGAGAGCGCTTTGGGAGCGCTGCATTCAGACGGCAAGTGTTGGGGCTTCGTTTTTGCAGAAGAACATGTCGATTGTTTAGAGGCTGGACTCCAGTGCAGTTGCATCGCCATGTCTGTGTGAGGAGAGAGGCCAGCCGAATGCAGCGCACCGAGAAAAAGACACGAACAGCAGGCGCTGTTTAGGCTCTTGTAAAACCGGCTCTGAAGCCAGTGACTTATTGACTTACTTGTAGCGTTCATCCCTGGCTTTGCATGCCGAGGCCATGGCCAAGGAACTGCTGCAGAAGGGCCTGGAGGCCCGCAAAGCGGACCGCGTAGTTTTTGGTCATTTCTCCACAATACTGGTACTGTGGTCTGGTAGGCTGCCTTCCACCAGTTGCAGACTTACCAGGCCATTGCTGGGTTTCTGCCACGCTCCAAGCTCTGAAGATGCTTGAACAGACGAGTGAAAGGACGCTGAGCATCTGCAAGAGATCTCCTCTGGTGTGGCCGAGTGCATCAAGAATGCCTTCTTCTTAGGACTCTTACTTTGCACAGTCCTTTCACGACAACTCGGCGGAAGTTCTAAGAATCGATCAGGTTGGTCCTGGTGTCCTCGGTAGCGATGAGGTCCAGAAGCTGACAGCCAGGCCGATGTGAGGGGTTCCAGGCACGAGGACAAGGCGTCCGGTGTGTGAATCGCGCAATCTGGCAGTGTCTTCACACTCCTGGACCAGTCTTTGCAGAGAAGTCGAAGGCTCAGTGAATCTCAGTGTTTTGCTGATGGAAGCATCCCACTTTAGCCACTCCCACTCAGGTGCCCAACATGCCAAGGAGCAAGCCAAAGAGAAGCATGAGGCTGGTGCTTCTGCGATGCCGCGCGGGCGGAAGCCTGGAGTTGACGCCACGCACGTGGCACGCGTCAGCTCACATGTCACGAGGCGAGTGCTTTGCCACAAGAGCTCCATGCCGGCGATGAAGACGAGGACGAGCACGACCTCACCGCAGAGGAGGCCTGGGCGCCGCCGCCCTTTGCTAGTCGAGGCGTCCGATCTCGTTCTCACTGCAAACAGCGAGGACCAGCTTCGAAGAAACTACGAGGAGGTGTTGGGAGCCATGATGAAGGCTTTGTTCGTTTGCGTGCTCTGCCCTTTCTCCCTCTGCAGTCTATGTCAATGTGAATTTTTGAAGGTCTCGCCCGAGCAGTTCCTTCCCTGCCTGTCCGGCTGCGCTGAGCGCATCCAGCAGTGGGCATCTGCCTGAGCATCTGTGCACAACCCGTCTTCGCGAACTCAACACAGAACCGACAACAACACATACATTGACATGCGGGCGGGCCAGGTAGCAACCAAGGAGAACAAGGCCTTGCTGCAGATCGGTAATCAGCTTTGGTTTGTTTCCTAACATCGTTCAAACTTGCAGCTCGAGGGGAAGTGATGGGCAGGTGTTGGGCCTGTACTTGGTCTGCGATCTCCTTGATCACTTGCCATTGCCTCAGTCAGGTTGTTGCATTTGAAACAACGCATGTGGTTCGAAGATGCACCCGAATGACAGGAAAGAGCACTCACAGAGTGCTTGGCCCATCTTCATGCCCAAGATCTTCGAGTCGATCCATGACGAGGATCCAGATGCGAGGACACCGAATGATCTGGTTTCCGCAAGTCAGCTCTCTCCGTCGTTGTTGCCAAGCAAGGACTGCAGCAGCGTACGCGGTGAACCTGGCTGCGCCGCTTGCAAAGTTTGCAGAGGCTTTCGGAACTGCTACTGCTGTTTTGACTCTTTTCGTTCTTGTCCCTGTCGAGGATCCTTGACTTGAAGAAAGCTGCTGAGTTCTTATGTAGCTAGAGAGGACCTTAATGCGGATAAGGCCAACACCAGGAAGCCATGTGCTCCAGGCACATTTTCCACAAACCGAACCTCCAAGTAGAGCCACTCTCTGATCGTTACGACCATCTCCCGAGCACACCCCTGCTGACAAACGCAACAGGGTTACGGGATTTGCAGGGTTCTGCAGGGTTGTTAACTGAGGCAAAAGATGTGGATTACGGGGGGCTCAAGAACATTCGCCCCGTCCAGAGACAAGCACAACCGAGCCGTCCTAACCGAAACAAACTGTCCAGAACGATCAGTGTGTCCTCCTTGCTACCTCAGTTTATTCTGACCCATTGATTGCTGTTCTTTGAGGGGTCCCTGAGCTAGACATAGGCAAGCCCCGTTTTAAGATACCACCCGAGCCCGACCCTAACCCCAATCCCCAGCCTCAACTTTCCTCAAAGCCTACCCATACTACCCTATACACACACTCTAGCAATAATCTATCCCATAAACTCAAGCAACCAACCAACACCGAGCCTCAACCCGCAACCTCAACCAATCCCGATAGAATATTACATAGCTTTATGTAATATCTTATCCCAGTAAAACGGGGCGAACTCCCTCGTAGAGTTTTCAACTTTCAGCAGAAGAGCAGATTGCTGCGGGCGTCACCTCGATTCTCCGCAAGGCCGTTCTGGACGAGAGCATTCTCCCAGAACTTCAAGCCACTGTTGTGATTTCTTCGTTGACCCTGTCTCCGTCCCCCGCGATTGTTTTAGCGACGTTATTTTTTGCCCTATTGTGTGGTCAGATTTTTGTTCCGGAATAGGTGACGTTCTTGGAGGGTAGGCTTATTCTTGCATGACCTTTTTTTCTTCGCCAAGGCTCGGTGCAGTGCCTTCTGGGAGGTATCCCATCATTTTGGAGCTTCCGGAGCGGTTGGATGTGCAGAAGGTCGCAAAAATTCTTGGTGGGCAAGAGAAGGGGCTACTTTTGAGTTTGCAGCGGCAGCCCTCTCAGACCTGCCTCGCTTGCTGGAGTTCGGGGCAGGCTTCCTCGATGAGTTCCCGGACAGTGTGGCACTCAATCCGAGCAACGTCTCGGAACCTTTTGGTGCATGTGCGGGAGCAGCTTCAAGGACGGTATTTCCACGACTCCCTTCGTTTGCAGAGCTTGATCCGGCTGTCTTCGGCGAGGAAACTGAGAGGAATGAGACGGTGATGGCATACATTCTGGAGAGCATTTTCGTGAATGCCCTCAAGGATGTCCGGATGCCACGCTGTATTTCCAGGGTCACGCCTGTTGTTTCACTTTTCATGATCAGTGCGGCTGCGAAGGCACTGAAAAAACCCTCCAGCTTTGCCAAGCTTGTGGCTGAGTTCCTTGAGAACATCGAGCTGACAGAAGAAGGGAGACCTTTGCAGTATTGTGCGATGTGGTGGCTGAGGATGCGCTTGGCTACCGCTGCTGGCAAGAAGGATTTCCCTTTGGAAAAGTTGTTGGGGATTGACTGCGCTGACGTTTGCGCCCAGGGGCAAGTGAGCCAACTTGACAAGCTGGAAAGCGTGAGGTACGCTGTTCCTCGCAAAGATCGCTTCATTTTGACATCGCCATCGCAGAAAAGCAGCACTTTGCCCTCGAGCAGAAAAAGCACGAAGGCTTTCTTAGCCACTTTTGAAAGCTTGCCAGCCAATACCAAAAATGTATGGCTTCTGGAGTCAGCGAGAGGCGAAGCGTGGGATATCCTTTTGGCTATTTTTGACGCCGTTGCCAGCAAGTGGTTCGTAGTCTTTGTAGATCTGAAGGCCAAGAAGAGTTTCAAGGACGACCAACAAGCCCAGCATGTACAGGTGCTAGTTGAAGAAGCGCAAAAACGCGCCAGCGTTGCTCCATCACGCTTGCTGGAAGCTCTCAAGGACGAGAGGTATTGTTTCTTGTATGTCACTACAGCAGAGGGTGCAAGCTCTGCGAATGAACTTGCAATCACGATGAGGCGTGAAGATACAAAAAGGTTTTTTGGACCTCTCTCCGCCATTCACAGTGCAATTCGTAAAGCTTTTACGAGCAGCTGAAGAACTGATGCGCTGACCTTAAATGACAGCTGTGGTGTGAAAGCAAGGCTGGCGGCGATTGATGTGTTGTTGAGTGTAACTCTTCGAGGGAGTTCCCCCCGTTTTACTGGGATAAGATATTACATAAAGCTATGTAATATTTTACCGGGATTGGTTGAGGTTGCGGGTTGAGGCTTGGTGTTGGTTGGTTGCTTGAGTTTATGGGATAGATTATTACTAGAGTGTGTGTATGGGGTGGCTTGTTGAGTTTATGGGGTAGATTATTCCTAAAGTATGTATATGGGGGTGGCTTGTTGAGTTTATGGGTTGAGTTGGTCGGCTGGGCGGTTCTTAAAGAACTATGGTGCTAGCTCCCTGCCCTCCCCTCTTTCAAGACGTACTGTACTCCCACATCGGGTTCACAGTGTGTTGTATCGTCATGGTTGTCTCTGCAGGCGGCGCCTGAGGCCTTCAAAAGAGTGGCCATGGTAGTCGGGAAGCCAAAGCCTAAGAAGCGAGTGGGTGCCTCAGTGATACTGAGAAAGTCACCCAAGCACTGCGATGCATTTCTTCGCGAGGATGAGAAAGCGAAGATTGCCATGGACAATGCAGCCGGGACCCCTTGAAAGCTGGCAATTTTGCCTTGAATAGAATGGGAGTGCACAGCCACCGCGCAGGTAGCTGCACTCCTGTCCTTGCTAAAGGACTGTTGCAGCTCTTCGGTGACACTCTCACGCATGCCGCAATGTCTTGAAATTGACCAGGACAAGGGCCAGCTTTGCCCTCCGGATGTGCAGGTGTTCTGCCCAGTCGTCCGGTTGGCCTCATGGGACGGATCCCAATTCGCTGCTACCCTTAGGCAGGGGACTTGATCCTTTCAAAGCTACCCCTCCGAGATGATTGCGACGAGGCATGCGCAGTTCTCGAAACCGTCATGACTTGTGGCTAGCGTTGTGTGACGTCTGGCACTGCCAGGGCATTTGGCGTGGTGGTAATGTTTCTACATGACAATTAATCCATGCAGACAGTGAGGAGGTCGACACTTCCGGGTCGACTCGCGCAAGCAAACGAACGAGCAAGAGTGAATCAAGATAGTCTTGAACGTGCCCTGAATCACAACTGGAATCGACTCGACCGTTGCCACGAACTGACAGGCCAAAAAGGTCCACGACAAACTCATCGACATGGTCCTTGCTCAGAACCAGGTCATGCTCATGCACCGCCTTCAAGCTTCTTGAACTCCCTGGCTTGAGCAGGGAATTTTGGGGCAAGACAACCGAAATCTGGGGTCCAAGCCCCGGTCATGCAAGCACAAGGCGGTGAGACCATGCTGTTACTTGCAGAGCTAAGGAAAGTGCTGGCATTCTTGGCTGAGATCTACAAGCAAGAAGGCCAATATGCAGGGGTAGAAGAGTGAGCTCTTTTCTTTCATTTCATGTTGACGTACCCTTGCCAGAAATTTGCACCAAAGAAAGCGACGAGAAGGTTCTGAGAGTGGGAGCCCAAGAAGAGCTGCGAACTTGTCACGGACTTGCTGCCGTGGAATGTGCATCCTGCCTGCATCTCGATCATGGCAGATCTTCAAATCGCTCCCACAGAACGTCCTCGTTGGCACCTGCCTCAGCACTGGTGTACTTTCCTGGATGACTTGCCTGCTTTCTCTGCCTAGGAAGGGCTGGAGATGGTAGATAGACGCATGCGCGCGCAAGCATCAAGCCACGAACACGAACGAGCGCTTATCAAAGATCAGCAGATGCGCATCATGCGTGAGTGCAAGCAGCCACACCACGCCTGCATGGTGTTGATGTAGAGACATACGAGCTTGGATCCACTCGAAATGCAGGTGCTGCCTCAAGCTTCAGCGAGAAGCAGCAGAAAAAGATAGCTGCTTGATGGCATCTGCACGACAGCTGTGTGTCCTTTGTGATGAATCCTCTCTATCAAGAGCACTTTCCGAGTTGCACGGCTTGCAATGGGCCTCATCTAGTCGAGTCTCTGACTTGCAGCACGTGATCGAGTCATGAGCCCATTCAGTGCTGTGGATGCCTCGCCAAGGAAAAAATGTTGAGCTCTTGAGCTCGTCCCGGCTGTGAGTGCACATGGTGTTCACGCCACCCTGGGCTCTAAACCTACAAAGGGCCTACCTAACCCAACCAGACTCCACCCCGACAAGTCTGCAGTCTGCATGACTGCGTGGACCCTGTAGCAGTGCTCAGTGGAATTGTCATGTCAACTGCTGGGTCGGTCCCGGGGTCCGTGCAAGGCAGCTGCTTAATTTTAGTATTCTACATGCGCGCATGTTCTCGTGATCCTGTCGGACCCGCGGAATGCTTATGCATCCGATGGGCAGCCAGCGTGGTTTTTGGAAGAACAGGGCGCAATACAACCGGGATTCATCAAGCGGCATTCAAACTCCAACGCTGCCCATCAGGTGTGTTTCGCTCTTTAGCTCACGCCAGCGACGTGCCCTGCTCCTCAAACAAGGGAGCTTTAAGAGGCGCGAAGCTGTCCTTTTTGCGGCCTCACCAACGGCGAGGATTGTTTCAGGAAGCTTGGCTTGCAAGAAGTGGACCAAGCAGTGTTGGCACATGCATATGCCATTCCTTCTGTCTCAGTTTTGCTGCACTGAGGAACATGGGGGACAGTGCGCTTCCGGGCTTAGGCTGCAGTCACTCCTGATTGTAGCTACGTGTAACAGTTGATGACAGGGCCTCAGGGCCTGAAAGGGAGTCATGTGGTAAAGTGAAGTTGACCGGGTGCAGCCAGCAAAGGCAGACACATGTCCATCTTGAGTCGCCTCTCTCAACCGCTACCAGCCGTGAAATGGGCCCACTGCGCAGTACGATGAGCTGTTTGCAGGGTCTACGTTGCATTCAAAGCAGTGAGCTTTTGCTGTCCAACTCGGCTCATGGAAGAGACCTCAGAAGAGCAAGGTGGCATATCCCTGCACATCATGAGCATGTCGAGAAGCGGCATCCGCAAGAACAGTACGCACCTGATCCACCTTCACCCCGACCACTGGCCGCATCCTTGCGAGTTAAGATGCACCTTGACCGCGAGTGATGGGTTCGCTGTGTGATTCGATGCGCTTCCCAAAGCCATGCGCGGGGACCTTGTCCGTGAAAGCAAGCCAGCATGCAAGGTCAATCTGAGTCAATCATCCCAATGCTGCTTATAGCACTGGAGTACTGGAGAGTGTTTTGAGACTTGAGGTGCTGAACAGCTGCGTGGAAGCCGTCACGGATTGACAGCCGAGGACGGTCGGAAAGTTTCATTTCGGTGCCCTGACATGCTTCAACACTTGAGCGTAAGCTGCCTTCGTCAAGATTGTTTTGTCCTTGCTCTTGGAGTTTGCTTGGAATCAAGCCTAGTGTTCGAAGCCCTCTTGTGACTTCCGACAAGCTTTTGCTGCAGGAGCGGCGTGCCCGGCGCCTCAATGATTTGCTGGTGTCGAAGGCCTGGACGGGTTTCTGCAGCCAGCTGGGGCAGCTGGGGCTGCGGTGAAGCCGCCCGAGCCGAGCTCAGCCCACAGGATTCCGTGCCGGAGCTGCTCTTGGCACTGCGGCGTCATGCCCCAGAGCTGGGTGCCGTGCACCGTGGAACAGCCTTGCACCGCCTTGCCAAGGCCGAATGCCCAAAGGCTTGAGTTGTTGTACTTCAGAGAGGGCCCCCGAGAAAAGGAGAGAGCTAGGAGACAGAGATTTCAACAGCCATGTGCTGCAATTGCTTGAGGGACCCGAGGAATGCAGCCCCCTCCTCGCTGGTAAGACCTTGTGCGTGTTCGCCTTTGCATGAGGAATCGACCTTCTGCCGATAGTATATAGTGGGTCCTACCTGCACCACCTGGTCGAGGAACCTGACTCCGAGCATCCAGCGATGGTGAACCTGCAAACTCGAGCGAGAGCTGATAGGAGCAGAATGTGAGCGTGACAGTGAAAGGGACACCAAGACTCCAAACAACCTTGAATGGTGAGAGGGCACGTCCGATACCCAAGCCAGCAGGCAAGGAAGCAAGGACAGAGGGCGATAGAGTTTACAAGCTCTGTGCGAAACCTTGAGGTGGAGAACTGTCCCCGGCCGAGCTAACACAGGACTTAGCAGTGCACGGCACCTTAAGAGAGGGCTGCCTCAGACCCAAACAAATGCAGAAAGAGAACGAGCGAGCAGAAAACGGTATCAGTGAGGTCTGTCGGCATTCTACGGTGCCAGGCGGAGGACGGAGCGACCTGGCTCCACTCCCCCGGCGTTGTGCAACTCATCGAGGAGGTTGCAGCAGAGGTCTACACTTAGGCCCGGAGGGTCAGAATGTCGGATCTCCTTGAACAGCGTAATCTTTGTTTCTTCAAGTCCAGGCGTCTCCGCGGTACTTGGCGAATGCGGCTTGGGCCTTGGGCGCCTCGGCGCTGCAGCACCAACCGCTGGCCGTTGCCACCCAATGAGCGTTCCACGCACAGGCCCCGTCACCCGGCAAATAAGCCCGTCCTCAACCATCCCTGCAACTGCAACCGTCGTGTCCAGGTGAAGGAGTTGGATGTGCAGAACTTGTCCAACACGGTTCGGAGATCTGCGACACTACAGGCAGTTGACCTGCCTTCCTACCAAATGATCGCAGCAGAGGCGCACTGCCTGACTGCATGATACTGCATGCTGCTCAAGCGTGGAGGTGGCCCAATCGTAGAACCGAGGCGATCTGCCGCATCCATCACTCCAGCGCACAGCCGCCTTCAAACAGAGCCCAAACCCTTGTTCGGGCCTTGCGTGAAGTCTGAAGGAAGAGCCAAACGGGTCTCTTCTGCTCCGTCTCGCCAGGCGTCCATCGAGTTGCTCCACCTTCCGTAAGGAGCTTGGCACAAGCAGTTATGGGTGTTTGGCAAATTGCTGGTTTTCCAGTCTTCCAGCCCTGCCGAGGCTGATGCAAGCAGCAGTTAAGTCAGCGCTGAGAGGCGTGCACAGGTGGCCGACCCAGGCCTGATGCTGAATCGATGCCCTTGCCTTGAGCCTTTCATTGGTGACCTGCAGGAGTTAGTGAACACAGTTCGAGCGGCAGGCGCACTTTTGCTCTTCTTTGCTGGAGCAGCAACCTGGGTAACCTGGTAGGGCGTCTTCAGCTTTGCCGCGAACCACTGGTCACAGCTCTGTCTGCAGCTGCCAAGCTCTCAGAGACGGCCAACACAGCAAGCTCCCAGACTTGAAGATCCATGTTGTCACAGGCTCTTCACCGTTTGAATGGACACGAAGCGCGTGATCTCTCCAACACATGCTGGAGGCGAGCCTCGTGTGATGTGATCTCGTCTGCCTGGTTCTTACATGAAGTAAAGGTCGGCTGTCCTGGCTCTCCAACACCTGCCGCCACTGGGAAGGGCTGCTGAGGAGGACCAACTGTTCGGAGACGTGTTTTGCGAGCTGCATTTCTCCCAGTCTGGTTGTGCAGAAAGAAAAGATCGTCATCGGGTAAATGCTTCCCATTGTTAGAATTTTCTGGCAGGCGGCGAACAAGTTGCGTCGCGGAGACACGCAGGCACGTGTTGAGAAGCTCTGCTTGCTCGCACCCTGTAGGCAGGGCGAGTCAAGAGGGCTCATCGTAGATTCATAGATGCTGCACTTCAACATGTTTCACCATGAGGGCTGCTCGGATGGTTGACTGGACCTACGTAAATAGAGCAAACTCTCGTCTAGGGGCGCCGTTGCAGTTGCGAAAAGCTGTCTTTCAGACACGGTATTCATCATTTTCGGCGAAGTCGTGCGAGACTGACAGCAACTGTCTCCAGGCCTTGTCCAACACGCTATGGGCTCTCGGCACCTTGCAGGACACGAAGCATGCTTACTTGTCTTGTTCGGTTCAACTTGACGAAGCCACTCGTCTTGTACTGCCCCCTTGTTGGAGATGCTGCACGAGCCGTCGACAGCTGCAGCCAGCCGGGAAGCTTTCCGGAGGCGCACTGGAGATGGGTTCTTAGGACAGAGTGCAAGTCTAACGGACGTTTGCGCATGAAAATTGATTAGGGTCTCTGCTGTGCTGGACATCGCCAGCTTGCAGCATGCTTCAATTATAATTGCCTCCTTGAGATGCAAGCAATGGGTCTCGTGGTGGAGATCCAAGAAGGACTCGGGTATTGATGCATGGTGCATATGGTGCTAATCCGGTGACGAAATCCCATGGTCGTTTTCACAGGTTAGAACTAGGCACGCTTTCATGATGAAATGCATGGCCTGACCCGCTGCTGGAATGCAAGACGATGCAAGAGAGATGCCAAATAAAACTCACGCTTTCATGTTCAACGGCCAGTGCAGCTGGCACTGAGAGCCTCAGAAACGCGAAACGCCTTGCCCAAAGGAGAGTCTCGCGACGCAGCATGTCCTTTTGACCGAGAGAGCTGAGCAGAGCGGAGCTGCCAGGCAAGACGAGCCAACGGCACAAGACATTTCGATCTTAATGTGGTGCTCAGCGACTCCCTTCGTCAAAGAGGACTCTGCGTGGGGTGGGTTATGGGTTCTTAGGTCTGAGATCTTGCTGTGTCAATGCATGCTGGATTCACCAGCAAGATGTGGCTGCGAGCAGGAAGCTCCAACTAGACTGCCCGCATCTTGTGCGCAAAGGCAGATCCGGAAGCGGTTGCCGGGCCAACAGTCGAGTTCTTGCGCTTGTGCAGGTGCACTACATTGAACGTAAGCGGCCTTGTCAGGAGAATCGAAGGCCTCAGTCCGCAACATCTGCCTGGAGCTGAGGGCAATGAAAGTTCGGCAGCCGAAGAACAGCTAGCATCAGCGCCGTTGAGGTCCAACACGGCACGGGCGGTGACCATTCTGAGCTCCGCAGACGAGAGGCGATCCAGCTTCTCGTCTTCCTCCTGCTCATGAGCGCCGATGAACACTAGCCAGGCCAATGGCCGTCTTCGCGACGGCCTGCATCCGCAGCATCCGAGGAAGAAAGAGCCATTGCCCCAGTGTCAAGGGCCCACTTCGTGAGTTCTCCGATGGCCAGGACTGGACGCACAAAACCTGGCGAACAGCATGCAGGCACTTGGCAAATCCCAGCATGAACCTCGGATCCATGTCGGATGCCAGTATGAGGTGGAAGAGTCGATACAAGATATATGCGTGAACGACCCCACCACACTCCACCACATCACCCCTCGAAGGTTGGGAACAGCGCCGTTTTCACGGGCGACGGGACAGCAAGCCCTTGACGGCATCACCGAGTTTGGGGCGCAGGCTTGTCGTTCGTACAAGCTCTCTCACATGGGATGGCCCCTTCCTTTCTGAACTTCTGAATGCTCACCACGGCAGAGGGACAGGGCGAGAACCTGAGAAGCTGACGTTGCCCGCAGGAGTTGGCAAATGCAGCATGGTGGCTCGGCAGAGCAGCCTCCCTGCATGAGGCGAAGACGGATTCCAGTCTCCTGCAAGATGAACTCTACAACTCTACGCTGTTGAGTATTTGACTCCGTAGACCATGGAGCAGTCTCTACGCCTGGCCCACATGACATGGCAGGTGCTGATGGATGCTGCTGCTTGTACGTGGAGTCAGAAGCATCGGCAATCGAGCGTTCAGGAGCTTTTTTCGGGTTAGTGAATTTTCCGCGGTTTGCTGCTTGGTTTCAACTTGACACTATGGGGAATCCTGGCTACGTGGGAACTCTTGCAGAGGGCACTGCCGGCACGGGCAATGATATGGAACCTGCGCTCCCAACTCCCAGCGGTGTTGGAGGTCCCACACTGTGCAAGATACATGGCTCGTGCAGGAAGCACAGACAAACTGAATTCCGGAAACGAGCATCCCACGCCACGGGACCAACATGTTGGCGCCCGCAAGCGCAGACAGGCGTGGAGCAAACGCACCGTCCATAATCATAAACGAAAGCTCAGAGCCGTTTGCAGAGCCTGTGACATTGCTGGTCTTCGTCAACAATTACTGTAGCTCAGACAAGTACCTTGCAGTAGACCGCAGTCGAGACACGAGTTTCTTGCAGAGCGCGTGATTTACGAAAGAGTGCCAGGGTAAGATGTTTTTCTACCGTGTCCTAAGCATGCAGTTTGACAAGCGGTGACAGAAGTTGCGAGGACACGACGAACATACCTTGGAGGCCAGCGACACTGTCGCCGCATCATGATCAGGCTGGGAAGGGCGACCGCTGGCCGTCCTTCTGCCAGTTCAGCCTGACTTGCTACGCTTTTGTACACTCTGGAAACCTTGCATATTCCATCACGCAATAAAGTTGGAGGTAATCCTCATCGTCGATGCAGAGGCAGGCATCTGGGGTGGGTCTAGAGACGACAGGCAGTGTTTGGTTGCCCTCTTTATCATCGGCGAGTGGCCGTTGTTCGCTTGTGCCACAAATACCAACGACGGCCAGCGCACGAGTCAGAATTAGTTACTCTGTTGCTTGCTTCTCGGTACAGAGTTGACTTGGACCTGCATCCAGAACATGCATAGGACAAGACTACAGTGCGATGCGCTCCGAACACAATGAAGGGGACAGGTGCACTGACACGGTCAACGGTGAAAGCCGCGCCAGTTTATACAGTATGGTTTCACGAAGTCAACAAATTTTGTGCGTGCTTTTGAAGAGTGCACTGCAAATAATCTTGAAGAGGATGGGGCTCCCGTGGATACATCGAGCGTTCTGCCAGAACTAAGTGGACTTGAAGCCGGCAAGGGACAGGCTCCAGTCAGAAAAGCACTAGGCCTGGGCTGCACTCTTCTGTCTCCATCGAAGATCTGCCGGATGCCGGACTGACCGGAAGCCTATGTCTGTTTCAGGGCGGCCCGAGTTGTAGTCTTCATCTTTTCGGTATGTGCAGTTCTGGAGCGATGATGCTCGAAGTAACGCGCAGGTGGTCCGACGGCCGGATGCCTTTTCAGATGATGCCAGCGTGCTCAGCTTAGATTATTCTGTCAGGTTGAGGCACCAGCATTCAGTCTCACGAGCTCATGTACTTGTCAGTCTTGACCAAAGACGTCCGAGCAGCGCATGCTTCCTTCATTTCGAGTCCCGTTGTTCTAGCCTAGGCCCAGCATGGAGTGCCTTAGGGCTTCGGGCTTCATCTGAATTTTGCCTATTCATGGCTCGAGGCCCCGATGCTCGTGTGGACCATGTGGAAGGCGAGCCTACCACACGACCTGTGTCCCTTGTGACATCGCCATGCGGGGCAGCAGCTGGAAGGAATTCGAGCAAACGGGTTTACCAGACAAGACTTGTTCTGATTTTTGTTGCCCAGGCTGGCTTTCGCCAAGGACTCTGGCGCCTGTTTGAGTATTGGGCGGAGGCCGGCACAGGGCTTTGCAGACTGTCAGAGCACCATGCAAGCTTAAGCGATAATGTTGCTTGGCACAGGGATCGTTCGAGCAAGTTGAACCATACGGTGTCTTCCAGATGGACAGCATCTGGTGCAAGGACCTGCATGCATCGTTCGGAGTGTAAGATAATCTTATCGCCTGTAGGCACTACGGCTCTACACGTCATCCATGCACTCGTTGCGGCACGAGGACGTTGAACGAGAAGCGTCTGTGCGACGCAGTCTATGCTCGTGGTTTCCTTTGCGCTGCCTGCAGGCATGTCGATGACCTCAGTTTTACTTTCTAGCCCTGGCTGCCCTGGCAGATGGAAGTGGCGCTTCTGGGCGAGCAGATTCCGGTGAGGCGAGCACTCCACCCAGCGTCTTGACCTCAGTGAGCGGTAGCAGAACGGCAAAAGTAGCTACCATAGGTAGGCCCATGACAGCCCTACCAGGCACCAGAAGGTGGCTAAGCTTGTCGACTTCTTGGAGGCCTTCTCTAGTTAGGCGCCGCGGTCGAGAGCTGTGTTTCCGCAAACAGCTCTCTTTTTAAAGGCTTCCGTGCTCGAGGGGAAGCCGGAAGAGGTTCTGGCCGCTTGCGACGAGACTGCAGAACTGAGAGCCGTCTCTATGAAGTTGTGTCGACACGGTGCACGACCTACGCTTTCTGAGTGTTTATGTTCGTTCATGAAGCCACGTCTTTTGTCTTGAGACAAGCTATGTCATGACTGTATCTCCTTCGCATGTTACAATTTATGTGCTTTGGCTTATCCCGTTCTGAGTTTTGCTTGTCCCTGATTCCATCCGAGAGACGGGATATAGGCTTCTGGACGGTCTTCTGAGGCGAAGGCTTTGCCAAGCACAAGGGGCAATGGCTGAAGGTAGCCGGCGGAGACAAGGCAGGACTTGAACCCTGCCTTGTCCTATGATACCGTCAGTCGCTCCGATGAGGCCGACCTGTTGCATGCCGCACTGCAGCGTCCCTTGCGGAGTGGCCAGGTCAGTCGCTCTGCCCGTGATTGAATTTCATCTTGCAGGATGCTTGTTTTTCGTGTTTTTTTGGCTCCAGGCTCAGGATCCCCATCGCAAATGACCGGCACAGTATCAGCTCTCATTCTGTGCTTCATTCGGATGTGTTTGCTCTGGCTCGGCAGAGCACGCTAGTCGCCGAGATCTTTCTTTCTTGGAGCAGCACAGCAGCCCACAGTTCACAATGAATTCCCACCAAGACATAAAGGGTAGCTGGGGCTTTGAGCTTACTCAGCATGCCGATGCAGGGCTTGAGACCCAGGACTGCATCGCATTGCGCAGCGGATCGGCCAGTCCAACTGACTTTTTTGGCGTGGCTGCCGTTTCTCTTATCTGGGTCTTCTCCAGCTGTGACGTTGCCACGTCCCCAAGTCCATGAGAGGCTTCGATCGTCCCGCCTTGCGTATGGCACTCGCCCGGAAGGATACGTTCTATCTCGGGGGACAATGAGGCGGACCTCGTCGCCCTTGGGGAATCTCAGACGGTTACGCCGACAAGAGCCTCCAAGCTGCCGGGCGGCAAGCTTCTTCAAGCTTTCCTTAAGCTCCTGATCTGGCGCGCAGGATATGCTTGCTTATGTGCATGTAGGTGTCGGTCTCCCTGTGCGTGTGTGAGTGTGCCTTTTGATTGTTCCAGTCCGATTTCTGCCCACCCGAGCTTGACAAAGACGCGTGACTGCGAGGTTTGAAAGGTGATGTACTTGTGACTTTGCACATCAAATGAACTTCGTAGCAGGTCTTGTCCACTTGGAAGGTCGAGAGATTTGCTGTCCTCACCATTGGCCGAGGTGGACCTAGGCGTGAAGGGCTGTGGATCTGATTGTTGTAGTCTTAGTCTTCGTCGAGGTTAGGCGACCCTGCCAAGGTCGTGAATTACGTCGTAGGTGAGGCTTCAGATTGCACGGTTGGTGCCGTCTCCTCTCCATTGCATGGAATTTGCGATCATGAGTCATGTTAAAAGGCCGTTTCCTTGCTAAGTGCCTCGGTGCTGATAGGAGGCCACGTGCGCATTGAAGCTGGCTATGATGAGCGCGAGCTGAACGAGGTACTGAGTTTCAATGCAAGCATATACGCGCCACAGCTGCAGTCCAGGTTGTGTCAGCATCTGCAAGTGTCAGCTCATCTGAGCATACGAGGATCTTACAATACAGTACTCCTGTCTGGCCTGCACAGGCCGGGTCCTGAGTTTCTGCATTGAGAAGCTTTTGCAAAACAGAAGACTAAGCCGTCAGGGAAGCACGGTTTGCATGCGCTTCGGACAGGTTGTGGCGAGGGGCAGGATGCCACCGTTTTGCTTAACCTCGTGCTGTTCTTGGGGCTGCAAGTGGGCAATGCCGGGGCCTTAGCGTGCACGAAGATTTCGGTCCTCTTGCCATTTTGACTAAGTCCTTGTGCAGCTAAAGCGGCTTCGGTTCGAGGTCTTCTTGCAGATGTTCCTGCTCTTCGAAATCGAATTCCTAATTGTGGCGGGGCGGCACAGGTTGAGTCGACCCTGGGTAGGCATGAACGCAAGCTGCCAGCTCTAAAGCTATTACTGTGAAGGAGACTTACTGTGCAGTGTCTTCACCACCAGCGCCACAACCAGCAACAACAACAACAGCACC